TGCATAGATAATTTTTGTCATAAGCCATTACAATATTCAAATGCGTTATATGGGGGCTATACGAAGACGTGGACCTACATGACCCATTTTCAATACCAAAAGTCCTGCAGACATAATACACATTTGAGTAAAATTGTATCAACCTACTTCATTTCGTTCGGAAGCTAGAGAGATTTACACAGACGGACGAACGAATAGACGGATGGACATTGCTAAATCGACATAGAATTTTATGCTGATCAAGAATAGTTGTACTTTTGTGGGGTCTAAAATGTATATTTCGAGGGGTTACTAACGGAATGACAAACTTAATATACCCTCCATAGTATGGTGGAGGGCATAAAAAGGTATCAGTCGGTTTAGTCGACAGATGTATGACCCCAGCCTTAATTTCTTATGGTTATAAAAACTCTTGACTCTTTATGGCGGAGGTTCCGAAGCAGTTGGCCAATATTGACCAATTCGCATCTGACCTACGACTGATATAAATATTACAAGATGACAGATTTGGACTATATCGACTACTTCCTGAACTTGATATGAGATATGTGTATGAGGTACCAGAAGTAGTGGATCCTTATTTTCCATCTTCACACCAGACCTTGGGCTAATAAAATATGTGTGTAATTTGAAGAGAACCGGATTCATATTTCAGATTTTATGATAGTTTTGGTTATTCAAAATTTTGACTCTTTGTGGTTGAGGTACCGAAGCAATAGTCCGATCTCCACCATCCTTATAACAAATCTTGTGTTGCTGGAAATATTAAGATGAGCCAAGTCTGAATGGAATCGGATATTAATTTCGTGTTTTATGAGCTTCATGAATATCTGAAATTGTGACCCTTTGTGGGGGAGATAACAGACCTTGGGTTTATATTGTGATGTGTGTAATTTGAAGATAATCGGACTCTTACATCACATTTTATATATATAAGTATTCAAAATGTTTACCCTTTGTTGGGGTACTTGGAGTAAACCGATATTTTCCATTTTCCTGACCTAGCACTGATGCAAATACTAGGATATGCAAAGTTGGAGCAAAATTAGATTATCCTTTCTCTTTCTGTGAAGTAAAATATCTTTTTTTTTTTTGAAAATTTCGTGGGGAAGGTACCAGAAGGAGTGGACCGATATTGCTTATCTGCGAACACGATCTAATTTTGATAATAATATTCCGATGTACCAAGTTTGGACCAAATCGGATACTCCTTTCGAGAGTTATAGTGCGCACCAGACAGGCAGACGGACGGATATCTCTAGATCGACTCCAAATGTCCGTTATTTCTATGAGGCACGTTTTGGAGGTATCAAATGATATATACCCTCCCTCTCGAGCCTTATGACTAAGGGTATACAAACTCGGGTCCATAAAATCGATGCCTAAAATATAACTCCCGAATCGTTTTAATAAGCTCTAGAATACGACCATTTGTGAAATAGTTATTTTCAAAAGCTTTCCATTGATATCTAGTTTGTCCATATCAATTTATTGGATCCGGATCTTGGACCCAGGGGCATCCGGGTCCTCCTTCTCAAAGATTTATAACTTCAGAGCTAAGACACCAAACACCAAAACTAGAGATTGATCATGATAAAGTACAATCTACGCTAATGATTCCAGAGTCTGGAACGAACATTTAAGGGAAACAGGTAACACGAGGAACTGGTAAAACCGACCTCGAAAACTGGGAAAATATAAATAAGACCTTTAGTGATAGTTTGAATACCCTTCACCATTTAGAAGGAATTTTTAAATTAAAAAAATGCGTTGAAAAATACGGCGGGCCGAACTTTGAATACCCTCCACCATTTGTAACGAATTTGGAAAATTTCAAAAAATAAAATCCGTTAATCTGTTAAAATCTTAAAAATGCCGAATATAGCCGTTATATTGGGGTCTATACGACGTGGACCTTCATAGGCTTGTTTGTCATAAGCCATTACCATATTCAAATTCGAAACTTGAAATAAACGGTGAATAACGTAGCTAAAGCCAAAAAAAATATAGTATATAAGGTGGTACCGTTATATCGGAGCTATACGAGACCTGGACCTGCATAGGCAATTTTCTGTCACAGGCTGCAGCATCCATTACGAACTTCAAATACGACATCTCAAACAATTTCGGTGAGTATTGTACCTAAAATCGTCAATACCAAAACGAATATATAGGGAGGTGCTGATATATGGGGCCTATACCAACACCTAGACCTGCACAGACAATTTTCTGTCATAGACTGTAGTTCCCATTACGAACTCTAAATATGTAATATGAATCATCGAAATACTAAATATTGGGAGGTACCGTTATATGGGGGCTATATGAAGACGTGTACCTGCACAGACAATTTTCTGTGATTACAACAGACCATCTGCCTGGGCATCGCTAAATCGACTTAAAATTTTACGCTGATCAAGATTGTATATCCTTTTTTTTTGGTCTGACATGAGTATTTCGAAAAGTTACAAACGGAATGACAAAGTTAATATACCCTCCGTAGTATGGTGGAGGTTATAAAAATACCGAAAATAGGGAGTTACCGTTATATATCTACACAGGCAGTTTTCTGTCACAGGCTATAGTACTTATTACGAACTTCAAACACGAAATTTGACACAATTTCGATAAATAGTGCCGCTAAATCATAAAAATACCGAGTTTAGAAAGATACCGTTATATGGGAGCTCTACCTGTAAAGTCCTGGAGAATAAACACACTTCTATTCTAACCAATAGGGTTTCAGATCTGCAGAAATTTTATCCCAACTTCTAGTGTTGTAGGGTATCAAATGTTCGGCCCTACCCGACTAGAGCCTTTTGCTTACTTGTCTTTATATTTTTTTAATTTTCAATTTGTTTTAACAATTTTGGTAAAATCGCAAAAACGCAGTAAACAAATAAATCTTTCAACTGTTGTTTTAATTTTTTTTGCTTTAATTCATGGAAAGGTTGATTGCCTTTGAATTGAATTTCAACCCTTATCAAATGAAATTGTTGATGACATTTTCAAATTCCACTGGATGGCCAGGTCAGCGCAGACCCGCCATCCAACGAAAAGATGAAAGGTGAAAAGAAAACACAAAAACACAAATGAAATTTACATTTTCCATTCAACAACATGATTGACGACTGGCTATTGATTTTTGAACTGTTTTCACGTGTCTGTAAAATACTAAAAAAAAAATAAATAAATAAAAAGATTAAAAAAAAGAATTTTTATAATCTATCGGCAGGAAATAATCGGTAAAACGAAATGTAAATGACTTTTTAAATACTATTAGGCGTTTATAAAAAATACAGGTGAACAGTTTGATATATTTCAAATGAAAAAATTACAGATGAAATTAAGTATTAAAGTATTGTTAGAAATTGATTTCGGAATTTTTGAAGGTTGTCCTATGGAGGAAAAGTGTTTGCCAATATTTAATGAGGCTATTTTTTACAGGAGGCAATATTATTAAATCCCTGCAAGAGAAAAACTTCCCTTTCAGAGAAAGGGAATAGTTTAAGGTTGTGTCTTTTAGCTTCTGCTGTGCCTTCCACTAGCGAAAAATAGAGACTTGGGACAAAAAAATCTGATCTTGAGAAAATCGATTCAAATGATCTCAGGATCTAAAAGACTGGTAATGATACTGGTAATGATCGCTCACGTAAGTCCTTAAGAAATTTTAATGCTCTACATTCCTCTTCGGACCAAATTCGTTTCAGGACATTTGTCGATCTAGCGATGTCCGTTCGTCTGTCTGGCTGGCTGGTGCGCACGACAACTATCAAAGGGAATATGCGATTTGGTCCAACTTGGTACATCGTAATATTTTTGTCAAACTTAGATCGATTTCGGAGATGGGCAATATCGGTCCACTTCTTCTGGTACCTCCCACATAAAAGATCGAATATTTCAATTAATATATTTACTGTACAGAAAGATAAACGATAATCCGATTTTGATGCAACTAACATTTGCATCAGTACTATGTCGTGTGCGAAAAAGGTCAATATCGGTCCACTCCATCAAATACCTCCACCACAAAGGGTCAACATTTGGAATAATTTTAACTCTAATAAAATGTGATGAAAGTCTGATTATCCTCAAATTACACACATCACAACATTTTTATTAATCCATGGTCTGGTGTGAAGATAGAGTATATCGATCCACTTCTTCTGGTACCTCCCCCATAAAAGCTCGTAATTTTGAATATTCATTAAGCTCATAAAATACGAAATTAATATCTGAATCCATTCAGACTTGGTACATCAATATTTCCACCAACGCAAGATCTGCTATTAAGATGGTAGAGGTCGGACTATTCCTTCTGGTACCTCTCCACAAAGGGTCGAAATGTTGAATAAACAAAATGACCATAAATTCCGAAATAAGCATCCGGTTCTCTTCAAACTTCACACATCACAATATTTTTATTAACACAAGATCTGGTGTGAAGATGGGATATATCGATTTACTCCTTCTGGTACCACCCTCACAGAGAGATCAAATTTTTAATAATAAAACGATATAAAAATGCGAAATTACCATCCGATTATTTTCAAACTTCACACATCTTAATCTTTCTACCAACACAAGATGTGATATGAAGATGGAATACATCGGACATTACCTTCTGATACCTCCCCCACAACGGGTTAAAATTATGTATATGTATTATGCCTCCTATACTTCCTTCCCCACAAAAAGTTAAAGTTTTGATTTAAATAAATGTTCGATTTTCTTTAATGTTTGCAGGTCTCAATATACTTCGACCCACTATATCTGGCTCCTCATGCACATTTCAATACTCTCTAAAAATTGACACATATCTCATATCAAGTTATATAGTTATATAGAGGAGATGGATAATATTGGCCAGCTCCTTCGGAACCTCCCCTATAAAAGGTTCAACATGATGAATAATAAATACCGATGCCAAAATACGTTCAAAAATCGAACATCTGTCGGCAAAACTGACTGATACTTTTTAAATTGTAATTATTATTATTATTATTATTATTATTATTATTATTATTACTATTATTACTATTATTACTATTATTACTATTATTACTATTATTACTATTATTACTATTATTACTATTATTACTATTATTACTATTATTACTATTATTACTATTATTACTATTATTACTATTATTACTATTATTACTATTATTACTATTATTACTATTATTACTATTATTACTATTATTACTATTATTACTATTATTACTATTATTACTATTATTACTATTATTACTATTATTACTATTATTACTATTATTACTATTATTACTATTATTACTATTATTACTATTATTACTATTATTACTATTATTACTATTATTACTATTATTACTATTATTACTATTATTACTATTATTACTATTATTACTATTATTACTATTATTACTATTATTACTATTATTACTATTATTACTATTATTACTATTATTACTATTATTACTATTATTACTATTATTACTATTATTACTATTATTACTATTATTACTATTATTACTATTATTACTATTATTACTATTATTACTATTATTACTATTATTACTATTATTACTATTATTACTATTATTACTATTATTACTTATTATTATTATTATATTATTATTATTATTATTATTATTATTATTATTATTATTATTATTATTATTATTATTATTATTATTATTATTATTATTATTATTATTATTATTATTATTATTATTATTATTATTATTATTATTATTATTATTATTATTATTATTATTATTATTATTATTATTATTATTATTATTATTATTATTATTATTATTATTATTATTATTATTATTATTATTATTATTATTATTATTATTATTATTATTATTATTATTATTATTAGTATTATTATTATTATTATTATTATTATTATTATTATTATTATTATTATTATTATTATTATTATTATTATTATTATATTATTATTATTATTATTATTATTATTATTATTATTATTATTATTATTATTATTATTATTATTATTATTATTATTATTATTATTAGTATTATTAGTATTATTATTATTATTATTATTATTATTATTATTATTATTATTATTATTATTATTATTATTATTATTATTATTATTATTTTAATTATTATTTATTTATTTTTTACAATTTAATTATGGAATATTCCACAATTTATTTCCAACTCCACAAAAAGAATCCAATCAAAATGCAATCATAATTCAAAGCCATGGAGGAATCACACAAAGCAACAATGTCCTTCATTTTAAATTCCTCACAAATAGATTTGCGCTACTCCCCCAAAAAAAATCCCACTTCTGCGATATAATTATGGAATAACCAAAAAGTTTTCCCAAAAAAGAAGCGGAAACTCCACCAAAAGATTTCCCATAGAATGTTTTTTATGAAGTTTGTGGTTGCTTTCATAATCATTTTCACGAACTTTCATAGAAAATAGAAAAATATTTGATATAAAAGAAAAAAAGAAACGAATTAGAAATGAAATTATAAATTTGAATACATCATCATCAACGGCGGCAGCAACGTTTCACTCTGCCACCACCACCATCATCATCATCGTTGTCATCAACTGGCGCTTGTTATGCTAAACATGGACATGGCAGGAAATCTGGGAAAATCCCACATCCGCACCGAAAAAAACAACTAACCACAAACGAAGGGAAAATATGTAAAAAGTAAAATCGACAAAAAATCGACGAAAACAAACATTTAATGGAAAGTTGATGAGGGATACTTTTTGCGTCTGCAGAGTTGGGATGAGATGCGCCACCATGCTAACACACTTCATCAATAGCAATCATTAATTTTTCTTTCTAATTCTCTTTGAGGACAATGTCAATAGCAGATGTTATTGTGTTGGTGGGGGAGTGTTCGTAATTATTTGGGCAAAACGATAAACAAGAAAACTTTTTCAAGGTTTTTTCTTCTGTAGAAAAGTTATATCTTAAGACACTTCTCTAGATTGTGGATTAAGTCCTCCTTAGGATTGTAGACCCACAGCGGTTATTTATATATATAGATACAACTTCAGCTAGATCTCTTGAATTATCCAACATCTTTTTTTTACTTCAATATATCTATTGGGTGTTTCATTCAATTATGTAATCGTTATAGACGGAAACAATGTTACCAATGTCCTTCACTTCGCTCGAAAAAAATAAGTTTGTCCAAAGATATTGTATCCCTTTGATTACAAATTAAAGCGTGAGATGAAAAAACTGCATCCAACTTCAGACTGCTGTCATTTCTAAACCACTCGTCCGACAGTTGTTAAAATTACTCCAGTAACAGCTCATTATTTTGTTTACAAGCGAACATAAACATTTTGGTAGGAATCTTCCAGGAAAAAAGTTATTCGTGATGGAAATCAAGCGTGATAGTGTGATTTCTTTATATTTGGCTGGAAAACCACAAGTGGCTATCGTTAGAGCACTCAAGCATTTAAATGTGAATAAATCTTTTGTGTCTCGTACCACCGCTCGTTACCGTGTTACTGGTGGCGTAGCCCGACGTCAAGGAAGTGGACGAAAGAAAACAGCAACATCAGCAGAAATGGTTCGAAAAGTAAAGAAGCGACTTGATCGAAAACCACGTCGCAGTGGCCGAAAAATGGCTCGTGAGCTGAACATATCACAATATTCCATTCGACAAATATTGAAAAATGAGCTCGGGTAAAGCCATTGAAATTCCAAAACGTGCAAGAACATGCATCGCAACAGAAAGAAAATAGTCTCAAAAGAGCTAAAGAGTTGCTTCGCCTCGCCGAAAGTGGTGAACTGCCGAATTTGGTTTTCTCCGACGAGAAAACATTCATTGTCCAGCAGTTTGTAAACAAATAAAATGATCGTGTTTACTTGCCAAAGTGGTCAGCTGAAAATGTGCACCTTCGGTTGGCCACCAGAACTCAAGCGCTGGCCATAGTAATGGTATGGCCGCCATAACAACCGATGGTCGCTCTCTGCTCGTTTCAATCGAATGCCGAATATTATTGCGAAAATTTTCTGGAGGGTATATTAAAGCCTTGGGCACGCAAACATTTTGGCCGAAGACCTTGGACATTCCAACAGGACTCAGCACCATCGCACTCAACACGCGCCACCCAAGAATGGTTACAAAATAAGGTTCCTCGCTTTATTTCCAGCGCACAATGGCCACCAAAATCTCCGGATACCAATCCGTTTTGTGGAAAGCAAGGTTGGCACTAAAAAATACCAATGTGTCGATCACCTCCAGTAGCGCTTCGCCGGGAATGGGCCAAAATACTGCAGAGCAACATTCGGGCAGCGTGTGACGATTTCATTGGCCGCTTGAAGGCCATAATTCGTGCCAAAGTTGACCAATTTGAACAAATATAATCTATATTCTTAAATTTGATGCTATTTCCGAAATTTTTGGCTTTCATTTATAAAATTAAAAAAAATGAAAAAAATTATGGCGTTTGACTTTGTTGCAGTTTTTTATCTCACCCTGTATTCCTTCTCTAGATTGTGGATAAAATCCTCCTTTGGAGTGCAGACCGACTGCGTTTATTTTTTTAGTTTTGATACATCACCTAGAGCTATTGAGATATCCTCGCCTGTTTTTTTTTTTAATTAATAATCTAATCCCTCAGTTATATAACTGTTAAAGGACATTGGTCCTTAAAAAATGTTATGGGGACCCTTGGCTCGGAAAAAAAGTTGGTCCAAATATATTGTATCCCTTTGAATTTCAGTACTGAATACCGGGAGATAACGTTTAAATTATGTCACTATGTGGGGCGAGGAACTTATTTCAGGAAAATGATTATCACCAGTGATGTCAACTTTTCTTAATTTTGATCCCATTTCACCTACGACAAATCCAAAAGACATTAGCAATTAGATAACTTCATTTATATTTATTTTTCTTATTAATTGTTTAAAATAAAGAAAGCTGTAAAACAATACAAAAAATATCTAGGAACATAGGAAATTATCAAGACGGTCAATTTGACTTGAGTTTCCGGAACAAATACGTAAACAAAACAATATAGAAATATATATTTTTGTAGTTTTCGAGGACTTGTTTTAATAATAAAGACATATGAAAAACAAATATTGTCCCCATGTACAAAGTTTACAAATACACTAAAAAACCTACATAAACTTATTGTTATGTAACTTTACTTAAAATTAACACGAATCAAACAATCTGCAAAGATTACGAAATTGATTTTAATATATCGTGAAAAAAATTATGCTTGAATGATGAATTTATTCTTGGAGTAAACAGATTTGTACTTAAAGACTAGAATTGTATTTACTAAAATACAGCAATTTAGTGGTCGACACTAATTTTAATATAAAAACAAAAAACAAAAATGATCAAATTTCACATTTAATAAAAATAGAAAAAATCCAAAAAAAAAATTAAATAAAATAAAAAAGAAGAACTGGTGAACTAAATAACAAAACTAAAGGTACATATTTCTTAGGAATGTCTTTGAGCGTAGACTAAGGATTTATTCCCCACGGACTGATGAACACTTTACTGAAATGATAAATAAAATTAAATTAAAAAAGGAGAATGGATTTGAAACGGCTTTTAGAGAAATAAGAAAAAATCTTCGAGGAAAATTAAAAACAAAGTTAAAATACTAATGGCTCAGAATTAAAAATATGAAGAGATTAGAGATAAGAGACAATTATTCAACATTTTCAATTATAACCAGTAAGGAAAAATCGGGCTATACTATATGATAACCTACACCACTATGCATATTTAGTAGAGCTCGCGTAACTTTTTTATTTTTAATCTTTTATACCAAATAAAATTGTTATAGAGTGCATGATATCACTTCGATAAGAATTATATTGAAACAAGTAAAAAAGCTGTAAGTTCGGCCGGGCCGAACTTTGAATACCCTCCGCCATTTGGAACGAATTTGGCAATTTTCAAAAAAAATAAAATTCGTTAAAAATTCTGTTAATATCTTAAAAATACCGAATGTAGAAGTTATATTAGGGTCTATACGACGACATGGACCTGCATAGGTAACTTATGTCACAAGCCATTACAATATTCACACTTAACAGAAAAAAATCGGTGAATAATGTAGCTAAAATCATCAAAATACCGAATATTGGGAGGTACCGCTATATGGGGGCTATACGAACACGTGGACCTGCGTAGACAATTTTCTGTCACAGGCTGTAGTATCCATTTCGAACTTTAAATGCCAAATTTTAAACAATTCCTATGAATAATGTTGCTAAAATCATCAAAATACCGAATATCGGGAGGTACTGTTATGTGGGGGCTATATGAAAACGTGGACGTACATGGACCATTTACGAACTTAACCTGCCAACTAGCAAAATAAACATGTGTGCAAAATTTTAGCCTTCTATCTTAATTCGTTCGAAAGATAGCGTGATTACAACAGACAGACGGACATGGCTAAATCGTCTTAGAGTTTGGTTTCAGACGGAACTAAGATTTGGGGAGGCATATCCAATTCGATTTTCAATAAATTAAAATTTATACCAAATAAAATAATTATAGAGTGCATGATATCACTTCGAGAAGAATTATATTGAAACAAGTAAAAACGCTGTAAGTTCGGCCGGGCCGAACTTTAAATACCCTCCCCACCATTTGGAACGAATTTGGCAATATTCAAAAAATAGAATCCGTTAAAAATTCTGTTTAAATCTTAAAAATATCGAATGTAGAAATTACATTAGGATCTATACGGCGACATGGGCCTGCATAGGTAACTTATGTCATAAGCCATTACAATATTCAAATGAAAAATTTAAAAAAAATCGGTGAATAATGTAGCTAAAATCATCAAAATACCGAATATCGGGAGGTACCGTTATATGGGGGCTATACGAAGACGTGGACCTGCACAGACAATTTTCTGTCTTAGGCTGTATTATCCATTACCAACTTCAAATGCCAAATTGGAAACAATTCCGGTGAATAATTTCGCTGAAATCATCAAAATGCCGAATATCGGGAGATTCCGTTATATGGGGGCTATACAAAAACGTGGATCTACTTGACCCATTTTCAATACCAAAAGTCCTGCAGACAAAATATACATCTGAGTAAAATTTTATCAATCGACTTCAATTCGTTC